TATATATATATATATATATATATATAATTATTATGCAGTTACAGCCAGCGGGAATCAAGGCTTCGTCCGGACAGCATTCTTGTAATGCGCGGAGAAGAGCAATTAATTACACAACGTTTTAATATGAAGAGCTGCTCTTTGGTTTTCAACTGCAATAACAAATATTCTCACTCACAGAATCAGACACTGACTGCTGTTTTTTATATAGCATATTTCCCATTATGAATTATGATACCGCTTGGTTCGTTGGTCTGTTGGGTTGGATTGCTTTCTCACCATGAGCGAACCGCTCCAGAGTCTGTTTGCAATCGGGCCGAGACCACCTCTTCAAGGAGGTCTCGCTTGTTTGGTCCGCTTTTGGTGCGCACCCGAGTGCGATTGCTGCATTCACACCTGCCCAAACGAACCGCACCAAGAGGGACAACGAACTCTAGTGCGATTCTGCGTTTTTACCTTAGACCCGCCCTGAGTGAGCTGTCATCAGTCCGCCATTGTTTCAGGAGTAGACAAGAATGACTCCTAAGCGATTGAGGTATTCTGTTGTTGGATGTAATAATGAACATAGAAGTCATCATTTACTCCCGACATCTGAGCCGCTGAAGACGCAGTGGATTACATTTGTTTTTGAAGGGAATGCGCCCCGATCTACATAAATGTGTTCGCGCGAATCATTCATGATCCAGCTTCACCTACAGAAGAAGTGAGTATAAGGTTTTTGTATGAATCTTTGCAAATCACCTTTCCTAATAACGTGCTAGTTAGCAAGTTCCGAGACGAATGCAGCTAAAGTTTACAGTCTCTCAGAGAACGGCTGGTCACCCCACGGAAGAGAGGGGCGGGATGAGCAGAGCTCATTAGCATTTAAAGCGGCATGCAACAAAACAGCTTGCTCTCAAAAGAGCTGTTTTTGGCAAGGTAAAAAGGGTGTTGTTTTACACAACCATTGAGAAATTCTAACCAAAGTATGTTACAGACTTTTCATCAAGACCCTAAAGAATCATATCAACTTGTGGAAAATGGGCATCTGATGACCACTTTAAGTCAGAGTCAAACCTGAGAACAGGGTAGGTTGAGTCTGAAGGTGTGTCCAGTTGACTATAAGTGTGTTGTGATGTGGACTTCAAAGTATATTCTGCCATATTATGTGAGATTCCATTCTGAAGGAAACATACACGTTCAGTTAAATTTTGAAGGGCATTGACATAGGAAACAAGGGAACATCGATACATCACTTCACAGGAAGTCGAGAGGGAATTTAACCACCAGCCATTATGCATCACTCCAGTACTAAACAAGTTTGAATAAAATAAATGCACTGAAAAAGAGTCTAGACCTCAGCATTTTTTTGAGTTTAATTAGTCCCAGGTGTGGTTTGTATGCAAATGTTTTGCTAGTATAAAGTGCACAAGATGTGATAGTTAAAATGCAGCTATCATGATTATGGTTAAATAAATACACAGCTGATAGAACCAAATTATGTTTATTTTCATATTAAACATCAACAACAGGCATTTATAACTCAAGTTTAATGCTTTCAAATGACAATTTACATATAAATCAATCAATGATAATGTAATACTTATATAAATACACATGGATGTATTATATACACGTATGGTATTTACAGAAGTATATTATGTCATTATACATTAAACTCCTATAATATGCATGAAACAAGTGTCATCTATGTTTGATGACGTTGCAGGATGTTATGAATAAATGCTTTTTATTCAATGACCACTTTAGTAGCAGTATCAGATTTGATCTAAATTCATTCCTTCCCTAATTTATATGCATGTTGCTCCAACTACACCACATCACAAGTCTTATTTCAGAGTGCTTTGTGATATAAACATCCTGATCACATGACCTTGTGTGAAACTCATCCTGACTACAGACACTTCTGAGATTCTAATCTGGTCTGAAACGCTGCATAAAATCACAGACGGCCTATATTAGTAATTGTAACTCAGATGTCATTTAGAAAACAAATCTCACTTGTTCGTGCACTCACAGATGTGTAACCATAAATAAAATAAATAAAATAGCCTCATTCGACCAGGCAGATGCCGTTGTCATTGAGACATTTGAAAGAAACCTTCACTTTTATTCCTGCTCTCATGTGTTCATCTATTCATCTTCGTTCATCTATTCATCTTCCATCACAACATCTTTTGCGAGGTGGAAGATGTTTTAGAAAGCACCCGTGGTAGATAGCAGATGACACAAACCATCTGTTGCCCCCTGCTGTGTGGACTGGATGTGATGTCGTCACAGTTGGACAGGTATCAAAGTGGTGTCTTTTCTGCTGGCTGGCATTTGCCTGGGCAAGATGCTCTGGGTGAGTTTCAGTGAACTTTCTGGAACTTTGCAAAGAGTTGCCTTCCTCTTTTTTTTTGGCCATCCTGGAATGCCATCAATAACTGTTCACAACTCTTGTCACTTAGAGATCCTCCTAGATGACAAAAACGGTGGCATTTCCTTCACTCTCTCTCTCTCTTTCTCTCTCTGTCACTCACACACACAAACTCTCAGGCTCTAAATCTCTCTTGTGCACTCAGTTGCATTTCTCTCTAACATTCTTTTTTCCTGTCACATCTCAGGTATGGAATTTTCAAATATTCATGAACTTCTGGAATTATTGATGCAGAGCGTGAGTGTTTCCCGTGGGAGGGCTTCTGTGTTTTATGGGTTTCATTTAAACAGCCTGTTTTTCCGGTTGGTATGAAATGCCAGAGAGTGTGAAAGTATGTGTATTAGACTGAGTATTTGTGTGTTTGTCCACTGAGAAACAAGGTCTTGCAAGACAGTTTATGAGATTCCATCTGCAGTCATTTCAGCGGAATTAAACAACCACGAACAAGCAACTGAAGGAAAATCCATGTCCACCATTCCTCAGGGTTTTTGAACCAATTAGAGTGTAGAGTAGATGAGACAGAAAGGAAGGTCATGCATACAGGAACTGATTAAGAGCTTTTAGCTTAATGGAGTCAACTTACATAAACATATGCATTTTACACAACCCAACACTGAAAAACAACAATTCATAAATCACCTAAAGACTGCATAAACACTGAATTAAATGTCACTGTGCTTAACCTAAACATTGCTTGGGCGTTAAACATATGTTCAAGTTCCCTCCATAATGACAATAGTTCCTGATTAATTCATGCATGCATGACCACAGTGACTAACTGCACTGAACCTAAACACAGTCTGTTAACTTAAACATCACTTCACTGAACCTAAACATCATCTGAACGCTAATGTAAACGTCGCTGCACTCTACCGAAACATCATCTGAACGCTAATGTAAACATCGCTGCACTGAACCTAAACATCATCTGAACGCTAATGTAAACGTCACTGCACTGAACCTAAACATTGTCTGTTAACATAAACATCACTGCACTGAACCTAAACATATTCAGAACGCTAATGTAAATGTCGCTGCACTGAACCTAAACGTCGTCTGTTAACATAAACATCACTGCACTGAACCTAAACATATTCAGAACGCTAATCTAAATGTCGCTGCACTAAACCTTAACATCGTCTGAACGCTAATGTAAATGTCGCTGCACTGAACCTAAGTGTCGTCTGTTGACATACTGAACCTAAACGTCGTCTGTTAACATAAACATCACTGCATTGAACCTAAACATATTCAGAACGCTAATGTAAATGTCGCTGCACTGAACCTTAACATCGTCTGAACGCTAATGTAAACGTCACTGCACTGAACCTAAACGTCGTCTGTTAACATAAACATCACTGCACTGAACCTAAACACATTCAGAACGCTAATGTAACTGTCGCTGCACTGAACCTTAACATCGTCTGAACGCTAATATAAACGTCACTGCACTGAACCTAAACATCGTCTGTTAACATAAACATCACTGCACTGAACCTAAACATATTCAGAACGCTAATGTAAATGTCGCTGCACTGAACCTAAACGTCGTCTGTTAACATAAACATCACTGCACTGAACCTAAACATATTCAGAACGCTAATGTAAATGTCACTGCACTAAACCTAAACGTCATCTGTTAACATAAACATCACTGCACTGAACCTAAACATATTCAGAACGCTAATGTAAATGTCGCTGCACTGAACCTTAACATCGTCTGAACGCTAATGTAAATGTCACTGCACTGAACCTAACCGTCATCTGTTAACATAAACATCACTGCACTGAACCTAAACATATTCAGAACGCTAATGTAAATGTCGCTGCACTGAACCTAAACGTCATCTGTTAACATAAACATCACTGCACTGAACCTAAACATATTCAGAACGCTAATGTAAATGTCGCTGCACTGAACCTAAACGTCATCTGTTAACATAAACATCACTGCACTGAACCTAAACATATTCAGAACGCTAATGTAAATGTCGCTGCACTGAACCTAAACGTCATCTGTTAACATAAACATCACTGCACTGAACCTAAACATATTCAGAACGCTAATGTAAATGTCGCTGCACTGAACCTAAACGTCATCTGTTAACATAAACATCACTGCACTGAACCTAAACATATTCAGAACGCTAATGTAAATGTCGCTGCACTGAACCTTAACATCGTCTGAACGCTAATGTCAATGTCACTGCACTTAACCTAAACGTCATCTGTTAACATAAACATCACTGCACTGAACCTAAACATATTCAGAACGCTAATGTAAATGTCGCTGCACTGAACCGTAACATCGTCTGAACGCTAATGTAAACGCACTGCACTGAACCTAAACGTCGTCTGTTAACATAAACATCACTGCACTGAACCTAAACATATTCAGAACGCTAATGTAAATGTCGCTGCACTGAACCTAAACGTCGTCTGTTAACATAAACATCACTGCACTGAACCTAAACACATTCAGAACGCTAATGTAAATGTCGCTGCACTGAACCGTAACATCATCAGAATGCTAACGTAAACTTTGCTGCACTGAACCTATACATATTCTGAAGGTTAACATAAATGTTGCTGCACTGAACCTAAACATTGTCTAAACGTTAATGCAAACGTCACTGCACTGAAACAAAACTTCTGAATGCTAATGTAAACGTCACTGTACTGAACCTAAACATCATCTGAACACTAACATAAATGTTGCTGCACTGTCTGAACCTAAACATTGTCTGAACGTTACCATAAACAGTACTGCACTGAATCTAAACAGTTTGAATGCTAATATAAATGTCATTGCTCTTAACTTAAACACTGTTTGAACACTAACCTAAACGCCACTGTACTGAACCTAAATGTCACTGTGCTGCACTTAAACATTATCTATCCTAACATCACTGCAGTAAGCTCAAACTTAAACCTAAACTTTTAATAACATTCAGCACATTTCACTCTCAAAGAACTTTGCTCAATATCATTGGTAACCACTTGCATCTATCTAATTTTGAAAACGACACAATAGTTATACCAAACAATTGCATTATGTTGTTGGAGTTTAGTGCCCTGTGAATAATGTAAAATGTAATTGAGGCAGTGGTATTCACAGTGCCCAGTGTGTGTATGTGTAACTGAGAGAATGAGAATGAATTCCTCGAAACAAACAAGCACACCAGTGCCACTTTACCTATTTGTGTCTGAAATTTCCTCTCCTCCCCACTCATCCTACCCCTCCTATCCTGCATGATCTGACTTTTACATGCACTGCATATGAAGCAGTATTGATTTAGCTCTCTTTCTCTCCTCTTCTCCTTCCTTCCTGCTCCTCTCTCTGTTTGACGCATGATTTGCTGTGATATTGCTATCTCTCTTTCCTCTCTTATTCCTTTCATCTTTTGTTCAGTGTGCATAAAGGCTATTGACAGCCAATGTCTGCCCACTCTTCAACATGGAGCCCTGAGCCACAGATCCTGCTGTTCTCTACATGGCTGCGAGCTGTGCTCCGTCAACTCGACCTTCGGCATGCACAGTGCTCTAGTGAATGAGGCCTGACATTTCTAGGCTGTGAATGTGTTTTCTAAAGTTGTCATTGCTTTACATGTTTTACACCTGTGAAACTGCTGGGAGTGTTTAAAGGTGTGTAATTTTTGTGCCACCAAACGGATGTGCAAAAATAATGACAATGTTTTAGTGCAATGTTTTCTTGACTTGTCAGTGCTTTTTAGTGAGTTGTTTGTGCATTTTTAGCTTGAATATAAGAAAGCATTTTGGGTATGCACAATATGTCTGTGCCATATCAATAAATCTAATATTATAGTGTTTTTTTTAATAGATTATTGATACTTTTACGTATTTAATTGTACATTCTCATTTACACTATTTTTACCTTTAGATTATCTAGATAATCCTATCTAGATAGGTTACCTATCATCTAACACTCACATAAAGTTAACCTTAAAAAAGTATTTAATAACGCTGTTATAATAATTTAATAACGCTGTTAAAATTAGTATAGCAAATCTCAAAATGAATTTGAGATTGAATTTTTCGTATTGTACAATAATATAATCGAATTGTACAATAATATTTTATTCCATGCCATGAAAATAATTATTGGCTTTTTATTATTGGAATTTTAATGTCAGCACATCCCTAAAGTATTGAAAATAAACTGCACAAATCACCTCTAAAGAAAGCATGAAATCAAAATTGATCCTACTTACTTTCATAATACATGTCTAGGGTGTTCATCAGTGCATGTTACTGTATAACTGTTTTTGTATAATTTATAACTTAGTATAAGTGCAATAACTTTCTCTGCCTAATGTTTTCACGATCCAATCAAATCCCAGTGGATGAAATGAAGTCCTTGTGAACATTATTTTCCAATAAAAATTCTGTTTCTTTCAGATTCATGTCACATCACGGATATGCTGCAAATGTCATTACGTTGCCATATAATTTTATGCATGTACATAAATGCATGCACATAAATGCATAGAAATGATAAATGGACACATTCTGATACATCATTTCAAGGCACTGACGACCGCAGCCACATGCACGTCTTCTATTAGCTATAATCACCACAGTCTCATAATCACTTTAATTGGAGACAGCAGAAAGGAGGTAATTTGGCAAAGAGCGGAAGAGGAGAGAAAAAAGATAAAAAGAGCAGGACTGAAGAGCTGTGTTTACTGAGCTACTGATGACTGGCTTTTGGCTGCTGTTTTTTGTTGATGTGTTTTCAGTATTGCCTTTGGGGTTGAATAGAGGTTAATTCTGTCATTTAAAAGCAAGGCTCAACCTTTAGCACACACATGTGCCGTAAACTGCCATTTTACTGCAGGTTTGTTGACATGCAAAGGTTTTTGTTTGCATGTACTGTCCTTAAAATTTGGATTTTCTTACAATTATTGGATTTAAATATGAATACAAATACAGCATTTAAAATATGATGCATTTAGCAGCACTTTGTTCATTCCTTTCCTCCCCCCCTAGAAAAAAAAATGAAGGGGTTTAACCTAAGTGCTTCTGTGCCCTCTGGTGCATGTTTCTATTCAGAATAGCAATGTTGTACAGTGCAGATCTAAGTAAGTATGTGTGTGTATGTGAGTACCATTATGTTTAGCATTTCCCCTTCCTATTACATGTGGTCACATATGTATGCACACACATGGGGGGATGGTGTATTAAATGTGTATTGAACAGTAGTGGGCTGAAGCATCACATCACATCCTACACATTTTGGGCTGATAGTCATGCTGCAGGAAGACTGCCTGCTGTTTGGGCTGGATGGGGAGGGCTTTTACTCACCGGACTCGCCTCCATGCAGTAAGTTTTGACCAGAGTGTTTCTGGATCAGGTCCAAGAGCTTTGAGAAGTGGCTGGAAGTTTAGCTTCTTAGTTTGTGCTGGAATGTGAAATACTGTTTTAATTCATAGAGGAACTTTAAAGCAGACAGCAGCTTTCTTCTCTCTGTCTGCTGTGCAGATTAGATTGTGTTGTGTTTGGATTGCGAGACAAAGAATTGAAAAGCTTTTGTCTTTTTCTTAATTGTTTGCACACATCATTAGCATGCCTGAGATAAATGTTGTGCTCTATAGCATTTTCCCTGTGTGTGAGTATGTTTGTGTGTGTGTGCGTGCGTGCGTGTGTGTGTGTGTGTGTGTGTGTGTGTGTGGCATCGCTTGCATATCTGATGCAATATAAAACCTTTTTAAGGGAGTGTTGAGATAAAAATAGAAGGCTCTCTGAGTTGGAATTTTAAAAGGAGATTATGACTGTAATTGTGGGATACATTCACCAGTGAAAAGATATAACGTTAATAATTTATTAAAACTATAAAATTTAATTCCATTTTATTCAGTTTTATTTTATATATAAAATAATGTTATTTATATATTATAATGGAAACACATGAATTTCAGAATGTGTCAGTATTTAGCTTGTTCCTTATTGGCCTTTATGACAACAGCACTCAAGCTCCTTGAACTCCAAAAGTTTATGCTATTTTTGATCATGTTCTCCAGCATGGTTTGAGATGATCCAAAGAGCATCTTGAGCTTCAGTGGAAGGAAAGAACATCTCACCATCTGTAAAAATAGTCACATGATCATTGTAACTAATTTACTTCTTTTATCAGTGCAGGAATAGTGGAGAATCACTTAGGAATAGTCCAGAATCCGGAATATATCTTACTCATTAAAAAAAAAAAGTTATGTTTCTTTTTTTTTTTTAACTAGGTTTTAAAAGAAAAAATATTTTCAGATTTTCAATGGTGTCAAACTCTCCACTGTGTATGTGCTATTGATTTTAAAAACCCAGAAACCAGTTTTAAGAAACTATAATAGTATAAAACAGTAACTTCTCTATAAAACTATAGAGTCAGCTCAATCTTTAAATTGTTATTTATTGAATCTAATGTGCTTTATTTTAAGAATGGCTAGTTAAGAGGAAATTAAATGTGTGCAGCAGTGAGGAATGATGAGGAGAGATGGAGTAGGCTTCTTA